TGCATGGCCACGCCCAAGTGCGCCCAAACCTCTGCCTCTACGGACCGCAGTGCGTGGCGATCTGGGCTGGTGCGGAGAGCTGCAAGCACACACCTCAGCCGGAGTCCAAGAAAAAACGCGTCGCTCGCCCGCATCCCGCATTGTACGAGTACCCTGGGCCCAACCAGCAAAACAGCACTGGCCAGGCACTGGGAACGGGTAACGCCGGTGTCTTGATGCATCAATGGCGTCTCCAAATCCTCTTGAGGGGCCAGCCTGAAAAGCTCCGCAGCTTCAGCAAATCGTTGCGATTCACATAGTGCCTCACAAGGGGATGCGGAAGAGATGTGCAGAAAGGTGTTCGACATTTCGAACAAGCATCCCCTTTTCGCATGGCTGCCTGGACGAGCCGAAGAATGGCAAAGCAAATGTTGTTTGTTGGTCACAACCCAGGAAGGGGTGCAACATCCGGCAGAACGGAATGGAGGAGGTGTATTCCAACGTACACCAGTGACCCCAAATCAGGAAACTATGCTGCGCACACTCCGCTAAGCCTCGTTTCACGAGGAACATCAAACCTCAAGCAGCCCAACAGTGTCTGCGTTCAAATGGAATTACACGTTTGTGCTTGCGGCCTGTTGTGCCTGTTCATCATCAGCCCTGCTCTGCTGGTTGCTTAAGTTTCGTGCCACCGAGATTTGACTGTTCGAAAAGTTCGCAGCATATTCCGTTGCGCGTGCAAATGCAAGCCCACCTAGCGCCAGGAGCAACTCACAATCAACCTTCACCCCCAGAACCCACCGCCACCACCACTGCCACCGCCTGGGCTGCGGCACTTGTTACCCAAAAGGCGTCACTTCCCCGATGCCTCCGCGCGGGCGAAGACATCCGCTGCACTTTCGCTGCCAGGTAGATACGCACTGGCGCGCGATGAAAAAGGTCACAGCACATGGGGATTGCATGGGAAATGAGGCCTTCTTAGGCTCAAAACAAGCCTCTTACAGGGGAGCGAGCGCAGGTGTCAACACTCGAAAACCCTGCGGGGACACGGCAAGCCCAGGTTCTCTTGCCCAGGCCTGGTCTTGGTCTCGCAAATCTCCTTCGGCCTGCACAACTCATGCCCAAGATGATGTGCAACGCCGTCTTCACGCATATAATATGCCTGCTCTTTTACTAGGGCGCGCAATTCATTGTAGACGTTCCCCTTGAGCAGGATCTGTCACTGCTTGGCCAAATCTGAGCCCATGTCGCTTTTCACATCTGCTCACATAAGGGGTGCTTGGTTTGCCTTCCCAACTCAAAGACTTAGACCTGAGATCTGTTTGCAGTGTGGGCCATTTGGATGGCCCAACTCAAGCCCATGACCAAACCCTAAAGACAAACAGTTGACATCTTTTGACTGTTGTCACTGTGGGTGGGTCATACTGTGGATGGACGAAATCCATTTCGCATCACCCAAGAAACGTTAAGAAACCCTGGAATGATGATTCCCTTGTAAATGCCAACGAACAATGGTTTATCATGGCTTCAAAGTGGTGCAGGATTCTGCCCATCCAACGTACTCATTGAAGCAGACTCCAAAGTAGTGCTCGAAGCATGCAGCCAAGACACATCTCCATTTGTGTCCACCCTGTGCAGCTGATGCTTGCTGAGCCAAAACACATGGGTCCCTTGAGTCAGGCCCACGAGATAACGTTAGCCAGCCACAAAAAATCACCGAGTGGCGCTTCTCTCTGCAGGCCTGTCCAGGCAAGTTGTCTGCGCTGCAAGGGCAGGCTTCACAGCTGAAGAAATTGCACGTGTCTTAAATCATTACACAGCCATTCCGCAAGCAGCCAATTTGGGCAAACAAGCAAGGCTTGATATCCCTTGCCTCTTGTGATGCTTCCGAACAATCCGATTGTCGAAATTGATTCGTCCTTGCGAGCAAATGCAGGCAATCCGATGGCAGCAGCCAGTCTTTGAACACACATGGAACTGCAGAAACAAAGAAAGGTGGTGCAACCTCAAAAAGCCTGCTTGTCCAGTATAGCTTGCGACCCGGAGCATGCCAGTGTGGCACAGCCCAACTTTGGAACCATGCAGCAACGCATCAATTTGTGCAACATCTGCTCACGTTGCAATGTTTGCCCCATCCATCCCCAGCTGTCCAGCGATGGGGAGGGTCCGGGCTCCCACTCTCTGGACCTCAGTCATTCGCACATTCAGTGTGTCCCGGTACCAAAAACCACTTTGCCTGCAGTGTGTTAAATGGATCTTGGTTGCGACAAGTTGCTGGGTGGATACGCTGCCCCGCGACGTGCTGCGCTGCTGCCGCTGCTGCTATCGCCTGTCCGAGAAGGAAGTTCGACTCTTCACACAATCAGACTTGCTAGCATGCAGCTGGGCTTCTGTTGTACAAACAGCTGCTTGGGATGCTGCCTTACGAAACAGATCGGACAAAGGAATTGGGTCAGCCAATGATGACCAGAACAAAAGCCAGGTCCACACACCAAGATGCGGTCTGTTGTTGCCGAGGTGTTTAGCCGGAGTCTTTCCAGCACCTCAGTGGACAAAGCCTTTGGCACCGCATCCATTCAAAAGACGAACCAGGTTAGGCATCTGGACTGTCCTCAGATCCTCTGTTAACAGTCTTGGGAACCACCAATCATGCGGTGCGGCTGAGACGCTGGAATCTCCAAGGCCTCAGATTTCTTTGGCGCAGCTTTCGCCTTGTCGAGGCGCGGGGAACGCTTGGCATCTGGTGACCTCGGAGATGTCGCGGCCTTCGTGGCGAGGTTCACAGGGTTCACAGGGTTCGCAAGATTCGCAAGACTCGCAGGGTTCCTGGGGCTCTCCTCAGGTTTGGCCCTGTCTGCCCGAACCTCTCTGAACTCCTTGGGCTTGTCGCTCTTCTTCCGGGCGCCGTTCGGATGGGGTGCCATGCGCATCTCCAGCGTCTTCAGCCGCGCTTCGGCCTTGGACTCTGCCTCCGCCATCTTGGCGCATTCCGCACTGCGAAGGCGAAGGGCGGCCTCGGCTTCCTGGCGACTGCCCTCGGCTGCCTCCAGTTGACTTTCCACCCGTGCCAGGCTGTCAAGGTCACGTAGGTCTCGCACGTGGCCGCCGGCCTCATCTGCTGACTGCGGGCTTTGCTTCATTTCCGCGTGCCGCTGCCTGAGCCGGGCATTCTCCTGCAACATGGAGGTGGCAAAGGCGGAGAGCTTCTTTATGGTCGAGGCGCACCACTCTGAGTGCTGCCTCACCTCGGACTCCAGAGAACCACTTCTTCCACCAACACGGACTGCGCTGAGATCCTCCTGGAAGCTCTTGGGCAAGTCTTTCAGGCTACTGCGGCAGGCCCTCTCCGTGTCAAAGAGATGCTGCACAGACTCCTCCAAGGGACGGAGTCGGGATAGGCTGTCCACCTGAGCACGCAGCTCCGCGATGACCTGGTCTTGGCGCAAACGTTTGTTGCGCTCGCTCTCCAGCTCCGAGTGTGAAGAACCTTAGCGAGCTTGGCCAAATGCCCACCAATGCGTGCCTTCCTTCCGGCAATGTGAGTAAAGGATTCCAAACATGATGTCTGAGATATGTCTCAAATGCACTGCACATCCACAAGCTTCGCGCGCTACCAGCCAACAGATTCAACAAACAGCCTGGACGAGCTGCTTTTGGCGTCTCCTTGCCGGCACGTCTGCAGCTCCTGGCATGGAGCTCAGTTGCGCGACAGAGCGCATTCCAAGGATGTTGCCCGACCTCCTGCAAGGCCAAGGCAGCCTGTTGGTGCCTGCGGGTCAGGTAATGTTGACCCCGTGTGAATCAGTTTATTAGTAGGGGGTGTCCCGGGTTTAGTGGGGAATCGTCACTTTTGGAGGGCCCCCACCCCCCTCTTAATAGACAGTGGTTGATTCTCATGGGGTCACCATATGTCTGTGGGACGGCTTCAGGTCCAGGTTGATGCAACCCCACCTGGAGGCTTCCGCTGCCTCGCGCTTGAAGGAAGCCTGTAGGCTCCAGAAAGATGCCAGCACTTCATCTTGCTCCTGCCTCAGCTTTCCGTGACTCACAGCCTGCCATCGAATGAAAAGAATCTGGTTCTGGAGCTGGTACTTGAGATCATGCGCTTGCCAGGCCCTACTGCAGCGTATTGCCAGTATCTCCCATCTTTGCCGTGCTCTTGTGATGCTTGTGATATCTCGTCAGAACTTTGGGTATCTGGGGATATCTTGGGACATCCTCGGGTATCTTGTGCTGTGCTGTGTTGTGCTGCGTGCGATTTGGCCCACAGGTGCATCCAAGGCGCACGTCTCGGCGCAGCTTCTGCACCTCAGAGCTCTCCTGGAGAAGCGCGGCCTCGGCCTCCGCCAGCTGCGACCGCAGCGCCTCGCCCACCGAGCGTGGCGTCAAGCGTGCGAGGCTTTCAAGGCGACGAAGAGAAATGCGGCTCAATTCGAAAACTGCCTGTGACGTGTCCTCGAACCCTTGAAGCTCCTGGGCACATGCGTCACGGCCGCTCGCACCCAAAGCCTAGATCTTGAATCAGAATTCCTGGGATCAAGCATCCTGGGCAATGGCACTCCAGTCCTGGAGCTTAGCACGTTCAGCCTGAAACTGGAGCTGCTCCAAACGCTGTGCCTAGGCACACGGCCCGGCTTCGGCTGAAACGGCCGTGCCCGGCGCCTCCAGCTCGTCTGCGCAGGTCACACGCAGCTCGGCCAAGGCCTCCGTGAGCTCCTGGACCTGAGACTACCGACGTCCGTTGCCCAACGGACGACGGACGCAACTCCGATCCTCCGCGTGGGCTTGGGAGCGCTTGCGCTCCCTCTCGTCGGCCAATTGCCGGCTGCTCCTGAGCTGAGAGGTCTCGCCCCATGTTTGGAGCATCTGCGTGCCTTCCCATGCCCGGCTGCGGGGACTTCGATGGGCTCTTTAAGTCCTGGCACGGGAGCTGCGAACATACCTGTCCAGTGAGGGCATGCAGGAAGCAACCACCAAGGCCCACCACAATCAAGCAGCTGCATGCCGCCCAAAAAGACAAACATCTCTCTGGGGCTGCGCCGGTTGCACAACATCAACACAAAGGCAGCCGGCTCGGATCCTCAATCTCTCGCATCACACGCTCCTCAAGCCCGATTCAGTGAGCGGCACTCCAGGCGCTGCACTCATGCAGTCTTGTGCATTTTGCAGTGACTCCTCCAGCTGGCTTCGATGCAGTTTCTCCTCTTCGCCTCCCCGACGGAGATCTTCCAGTGCTGTCTTCACCTGGCTTGGCTCAAGGCAAGCACTTTGCCACATTCAGGCGTCGCATGCCAACCTTCTCCAACTCATCCACGGTCTCATCCCTCCGGTCTTCCGAAACGGATGTTGCAGTAGTAGCGAGGCCTCCGCGGAACTGCATCAAACACCGACCTTCGACAACGAACTGCTGCCAAGGTGCTTCCTCTGGCTACGTTCTGCAACTGATGCAGCCGCCGGCGCACCGCGAATTGCTCTCGACAACGTCCCTCCTCCAGTGCCTTTTGCAGGCCTCGCAGACTGCGAATTGTGTAAAGGCCAGGCAGCACCTCAGCACTTTTGCACACGCCTTCGATCTCTGCTTCGAGCCCCTGCTCACAGTTGGTGTCGGTTCCTGGGCCAGCGAGGCGCATCTCAATCAAACCGCTTGTTCTCAAACCAGGTCCAAGGTGCGGCTTGATCCGTCTCGGCTCATCTCCTGCCAGAACCAGCTAAACACCTCTAGTACAATGGCAAGAGGCCAGCATGCAGCGTCAAATCTAAAACCTCTGAGAGATCAATGATTCAGCCCGTGCCTCGCGCACTCGTAGTGAGCGCAAAGGGCCTGCTGGCGAACGCCGGTGCCTGGGCCAGAATTGGGAACTGAACACGCCAAAAGTGTTTGGTGCTGTGGTCCCAATTTGGGCCCGAGCAGCGGCTGAAATGTGGGGCCCTGCCGCAGACGCTGAAGTGGGGAGAACACGGGAGAAGATGCGCATGAATCCTGTCAACTCCAACAGAAATGCCAGCTTGGTCTCGTCAAATGAGCACCCACTTCCTGAGACCACGTCCGCGGCCCCACATCTGACATGCGTCGCTGTGGGGACCCGGGACTCGTGACATCTGCCATGGCCCGCCAGGCAACAGCTTCGGTTTGGACGCCCTCAGGCATGCTGTGGTCTTGGCTTGCGGATGCCCGCTTAGATTGCTTTGGCACCAACTCAAGATGTGCCGCCAGCGCCCCCTGCGCAGTCGCATAAACTACAGCCAGTCTGCATCTGCCTCTGATTTCTTGTTGTGTTCAATTGCCATCACTTCTTCTGACTGATTGATCCAGCTGGGAAGGCTGCAGCGATCCTGCGATTTTGATCAGGCCTCCCATGAATTTCGAGCTCAAAAAACTCCTAAGATTCGACCGCTAGGCCCACTAGCAATTTGGCTGGCTGGACTGAGCGCCCACGCGTCAGCCCACAGCGGCCACACAGACTTTCGGCCTGCACATCATTGGTGACATATTAGGGACACCCACTGGCAAGGCATCCAACCCATTCATGCAGAAGGCAAGAACCTCACGCTCCTTTGCCTTCCCGGGGGGCAGGGTGCGCATGGCCGATGTGAGACGTTCTTGAGAGCGTACTTTGCAACTCGAAAACCTCTGGCCGCTTGGCCAACTTGGAGTCAAGCTCTGAAAGATTCTGAAAGCCACTGAGCCAGTGGGAAAGAACGTAGTGCAAAACAAATGAAACTTGATGGCATTGAATGACTCTTTCCTGCTGCTTCACTGCATGGATGTCAGCGCCAGCCAGCAAGAACGTGCATGGCTGAAAACTTGTGGATTGGGCCTACCCGACCCTGCCAAGTGGCGGGAAAATACTGGGCCACTGAGGCAGACCCTGGAAAATCTGTCAGGACTCTGAGAGCCTCAGCCAATGCTCGGCCTTTGCTTTACGCAATCAAAGGGTGCACATGTTCGTAGCGGATTGCTCCAATAATTGACTGACCCCCGCAGCAATCCCAAGCCTCCTGAGGAATGCGCCGTGCCACGCAGGCTCTTACAACCGTGCCACCTGTTGAGCATATATCCTGCCAAGCAGGCATACTCATGGGCAGACGTTCCCAAATCTGTCGAGTCTTAATCATTTCAACATGTTTCAGGCCTCCATCGCATGGTTTTCGCATCTGCAAGAGATTATTGCTAGCATAGCCTGTGTGTTCACGAGAACTCTTTCTGTGGCTTTGGCAGTCCTCAACACGTCATCTCTTGCAAGGCAAAACCTCAGTTCTCCAGCACCAAAAAATTACTGGGTTAAAGCAAAAACACGTCAGAAGAGCGGCTCTGCAATATTGCGGGGCATCATTTTCAAAGCTCCTGCAGGGCGGGATGCCTTTGCATTGAGTGATGCATCGGTTGCTTGCAACACCCAAAGCTGTCCCCACAAAGGTTCTGGAGTTGCGAACTCTTGGGCGAGCGCATGTCTTGCCTGGCGATGATGCATTCTAGTCACATTCTGCCACTGGCACAGGTAGCACAATTTGAACCCACCGCACCTGGTGACTCGACACTGAGAGCAAGTGCTGTGGCATTGGGATCACGGAGACCTATTCAAGCCAAAGCATTCCAGGTGCACCCTGCATGGCAGAGAAGGCCTTGCCAAGCATCTCAGGTCTGGGCATGACAAGGCGTATGACCCACTGCCTCACATCCACTGGGCTCAGTACCCCCTTCAACTTCACTCTTGAAATATTGTATAAGGACTGATGGTGAAGGTTCTTGAATGACAGGTGAAGAAGAAGCTATCACATCTATGTCACATCTCTTGGTCAGGTTCCTCTGTCACCAGACTAGCCATCAAACGCTTGACGTTCTGCTTGGGTCAACGATTCATTGTTGCCGCATTCAAGGGTTGCAGGGTGAAGGCAACCAGGCCATCGGAAAGCTGTTGCAAAAACGGTCCTTCCAGCATGTTGATCCCTTACCTTATGGGTGGAAGCTAAAGAAAGAAAAGAAATGAGCTTCACATCCAAGCCAAAAAAACCAAACGAGAGAGAGGCAGAACAGGCAAATGTCGGCAACGTTCTTGTTGACGTCTACCGTCTACCTTTTCAAATTCGAACAGTATCTCGGCAAGCTGTTCCAGAAGCGACACATGTTGCCCGCGCTGGGTTTTCTTAGCCCCCGTCTGTTGCGTGAGGAGGGACTTGGTTTGCTTCCACGCCGGGCTTTGGAGTCTTACTGGTTTTCTCCAGATGGCGTCATTAACTTCTGTAGGTGGAACCGCTGACTTTTCGCGTTGACTGGGCCTAGCTTCCGTTTTGACCTCCGCAATGTCTGCCTCATACATCGCCCAGAAGTCTTAGCGGCTTCAGCTTCCGGCTAATCGCACCTCCGTCCGGTCACCCCAGCTGCCTTGACCGAACCAATTCAAAGGTCGAGGATGGTTTTGTTTTTTTTCGCCTTGAAGCCTTAGCCAGGAAAGCTGGGGACGACGCCTCCAGTTGTTTCCTGGTCAGATTGAGTCAGGGCATGCGCCACTCGCCTTTCCATTGATGGCTGCATAACAATCTGCCCGCGCGCGGTTGTTCATGAACCAGATTGGCGACTTACTATCCTCGCTGGCTGATCTCTGCAAAATGTGTTGGATGCAAGCGACAATGTTGCATCGAACTAGGAGGTTTCAGGAGGAGCAGAAGCTTGTGCCACTCGAGAAGGCACTTTGAGTCTGCTACGTAAAACGATTCGGGAAATTTGTAGGTGGCTCTGCCGTTCTTTGGGTTGGCGCTGCTGCGCTTTGAGCTCCTGCTCTAGCTTCTCCGCCTGCGCTTTCAGCAGCCCATCCATCGCTCCCTGTGGCCAACTCTCACCTGACAAGCGGGAGCTGGGCTCTCATGCGCTGGATCTCCTGCTGCTCTCTTGACAGCTGTGGACCTGGTCGAGGCTCATCTTTGTGTTCAATGCCTCAACAAGTGCCCACATGTAAAGTACGCCTGTGTTGTAGAATGTCTCTGCGGAATTTCGGGAGCACACACACACACACTCACACACTCCTCATCAACCGGGACGCTCCGCTACCAGGATCCGATATTAAGCTCGAGCCAAACATGGAGCCGTCATGGACCCGTGTGCAATACCCAGGCCCCTCTTGGGATGGATCTTTGTTCGAATACAGTGGTTGTCTTGCATCATCGCGTCTCCATGGCTTTCCCAACCTATCTTGGCCCGGCTCTAATCATCATGGCTTCTAACGCGTAACCAACTGTACGCCAGTAAGTGGCTGAAGAACCCTTGGCAAAAGACCTGTCTTCACAATACCAATGCAGGTAGGCTACTGTAGGCTACTTTTCGACACTTTCCAAATCTTTCCAAAGTGGGCCGTAAGGCGAGGAGGCGCAAGCATTCTTATTGTGGTGGCCATTCCCGCAAACAACGTTCAACAATGGAAGTTTGGAAGGAATTTCTTTGGCACTGTGTTGGAACTAATTGAGGTTAGAACAAGCCGAGCAAATTAAGAACTGGGGAATTTAAGTGGACCTGAGAAGTGGCCCCGTGCGTGAATTCGGCCCTTCCGCACGTGCGCAAACCACCTCGCGACGTCTACGGATGCGGGCTCGGAACAGTCTCGGAGCCGGGCCCATTGGCACCGCCACGCGTACTGTTTTGCAACCTTCCGATGTTTGCGTCGCTCGCGCACATGCAAACGTGTTTTCTTTAACGTTTTCAACTCGCGCAAGCATTAAAAGGCGAACACTCCTCGTGTTGTCTTGAGTGCATTTCACCTCCGTAGGCTGCAGAGAAAGAGAGAACGAGAAGCAGAAGAAGAAGAAGAAGAAAGAGAGAAAGAGAGAAAAAGAGAAAGAGAGAGACAGAGAGCGATAAAAAAGAGACCGAGAAGGGACGAAGCAAAGTGCTCCAAACTGTAGTTCTTATACTTTGAATGGTTCCGCCGTCTCTGCCGGACAGTGCTGGTAATTAATACAGAAGTCCCAACATGTAGATTGTAGGTGCAGGTGCTTCATCTTAAACATAGGCATTTGGGACAACAAAGGCAAAAAAACTGACTTCAAATCATTTTTGCTCATTACTCAAGTCACCACAATCATTGAATATGCACCCATGACCAACCATCAAGCCGCAACATTCCGGCTTGGCCTTGGCAGCCGCCATGAGCCGCTCCGGTGTCCAGCCAACTCGCGTGAACAGCAGCAGGGCATCGCAACTTTGGCCCGGTTGAAGACAAGCATGGGCCTTCCACAGGCGAATTTCGCAAATTCGGCGCAGATTGTGTCTTCACGCAACTTGCGCCACCGAGGCCTTGTCTGCCCAGTGCTTCATCCCCTCAAAGACATCAGCACCTCAGAGCGGCACTCGGTGCGGCTCTGAAGCCTCTCCGGCTCCACAGGTGTCTATTTTGCTTGTAAGTACAGATGTATGGAAGCACCTTGCAGCGTGGCAAGCAAAACAAGTCTACCCACTTGAGCGTGCCAAGCATGATGGCCACGCTGCGGTTGACTTACTACAGCTGCCAAGTCAAGAACATTCAGAACCCACTTCAGCTTTTGATCACCCACCAAAGGCTCACCTGGATCCTTGCTGAGCAAAACCTGGTTCCAATAGGCCATGTCCAACTGTAAGCCAACCAACTCAAATAGGAATTCAAAGGCCTTGGGATCCGCGGGCTGCTCGGGCAGTTCTGTGAAAAACGCAATGCGCTCACGTGCCTGCCTGCAAGCTTGCCCTCATGGGCCTTGATCTTCAGCCATGGCAAGGTGCGAACCTACATGTGCCACGAGTGTCCTGAGTAGTGACGAGGCCGCGTATGTTGCAACAAGAAGCCTATGTTGAGTCAAGATTTGGGATGGGCTTGGATTGGGGATGCAAGTCGGTCTGGTTGGGGGTTCTTTGGGCTTAGCAGGCCATTCGAGGTTGCGGGTAAGAAAGGGTTCTTACATCCGTCGCCGCTAACCTGCTTGAAACTCAATTCCACTTGTTGCACTTGCTTTTCTAGGGTACGTGATTTCAGTCAAAACCCTTTTGACCCTCCAGAGGCTCTGGAAAACGCATTTGGCCCTGAATCCTTCAGTGAATCCTTCGTCCGGACCAGCACGAAGCATCAACAACAGCCCGGACCGCCGGAGTTATTGCTGTGAGGACTGCGCCCACCGCCCAAGTAAGGTGGCCCTGCCCTGGTCCGCCCAGCAGGGCTCGCAGCCTGGGAGACTGCCAGGCCGCCATTGGGTTCGAGGCATGAGGCCACGACACCCGGAAGAGTTCTACCTCGGATGCTTCCAACGCACATGCCGAAATCACACGCTTGCTTGCGAATCGAGCCGTGACCTCACTTCGAACGCTTTGCAGTTTTGCTCACGCTGCGCCTGGCACACCGCCGCACGGCGCACATCGTGGATCCAGGGGAGCAACCTCCCAGCTTCCTTCGATTGTTTTGAGCATGTTTTGAGCGATCGGTTGCTGCCAGCACCGGCTTTGCCGGGCGGCAGAACCTAATCACGTTTTCTTGCCAGACGAGAAACTCGTCCAAAGCATCACAAGGACACATTCGTGTGTCCCACAGTTGTCTCTAGGCCCAGCGTTCGCTTGCGTGCCCCTGAAGGTTTCTCCTGGTCCTCCATATCCTCAACGTTCACATTGTGACGCTCAGCGTACTCCGCGGCCACAAAGTTTGCCAGACTTGCGGGCGAGTCTGCTTCGACGTTCTTGGCTGGCAGGCGCGTTAGGGTCATGGTAATCACGGCAAGGAGCATAAGAGACGCCCCGACAATTTCAATGATTTTGGGGGCCTTGTCAAACATGAAAATGTCCAGGAGGTAGCCACTGATCATCTGCCCTCCAGTAAGCAGAGTGGCGCCCAAAGCAGCTGGGCACAGCTTGGATGACATCGCAGCAAAGGAGTTTGCCAATAGGATCACCAAAAGCAGCATCACAAAGTAGAAAATGCTCTTCGTCGGGGAGTCAGCCAAGGCTTGAATGTCGCCATCAGCAGGGCCAAGGATCAGTGCCAAGACCCAACAAACGATTACACGCTGAGCCATGGTTGAAAAGGTGAGCATGGTAGAAGATGCTTGTCCTGCTTTTCGCGCACTGATCAGGGCGAAACCCAAAGAGACCCCTGCCAAGAGCGCCAAGAAATTCCCCAATAAGCTGGAGCCCATGCTGGCCAAGGCTTCCTGCGGGTCACTGATCAACACTGCCCCAATGAGGAAGAGACACATTGCCAACACATGCCACTTTGTCAGGGGCTCGCCAAGCACTAAGCGCCCAAGCAAGGCGGCAACCACGGTGTTCACGCTGCCCAAGGCTGCCACAGAGCCGATGTGAGCGCCAGCCAGCGTCGCCCCGATGTTCAAGACGTTCAGCATCGAACTGAAGAAGCCACGTGCAACCACCCACTTGACTTCGCGGGTCTCCAGGTGGTAGGACTTCTGACATGCCATAGTCACAGCAAGCCCGCAAGAGATGAAAACAGAGGCCAAGCCTGCTAGGACAAAGTAAGGCCAACCCCAGCCCTGCATCAGCTTACCAATGGTCATGATCAAGTTTGTAAAGAGTGCCGCCACGAGGGCGGCCGCGATGCCGCGAGCTTCTTTGGGGAATTCCATGGCTCTCTTGGGGCGCGCCAATGAAACTTGAACCAAAACGGCTGGGGACGAATGCGACTTGCGTCACTGGCCCAATCCAATCTTAGATCTTTCTGCAAACTGGGTGGCCGGCAGAAGTCCCCAACTCTGGCCCCAAGTCTTTCCGCAAGCTTCCGACACCTTGCCAACAGAAGCAATTCATGCCGTCTGCCAGTGGATAGCAGGAAAGGCAAACCCACGAAAAGTTCTGAGAGCCAGCTACAAAGCGACAACTCACGCAGCTTGGGGATCCCAATCGTGATGCTCTGCAGCATCAGTAATCATAGTCATAGTCAATCAAACAAAGAGCACTAAGAACCCAAGAGCACGAAGGAGCTCGAAAATGACAAGCCCGTAGATGTTGAATCTGAGGGATCAAAGAAAGTGCTGCCACCAAACTTGCGTCGTATGAAACACTCGCAAAAGCGGTCGTCGGAACCGCCTTAGCGCAAGGGACACACGCTGGCACGGCAACATGAAGCACACTGCTAACCGCAAAGCGGTGGACCCCCAGCATACTTCTTTCGGATTTAGAACTAGGCTGGCAACTTCCCCATCGAAAATCGAGAAAAAGAAAAGAACAAAAACACACACACACACACACACACACACTTATCTCGAGTGGCTTCACTCGCAGACAAGACAGCAAGAAACCCTTGGCTTCCCTTGGCATCAATAACAAAGGAAGCAGACAGCGACTTTTGGGGACCCAACATCACAAAAACAAAGGGACCAACAGCGGGTACGTTTTCACTGGACCAGAGGGGGGTCTTCGTTGGCCACCGCCCCCCCTGGTCCCCGGTGGCCCCCCGCCGGGTTTTTATCGTCCGTGATCCAGGACGGCACACACACACAAAGCCCCGGTGGGGCGGACACGAACCACACAGAGGGAATTCCACCAGGGGACCGCCAAAAACCGCGCGGCAACAGCAAAAGATTTTCAAAGACGAAAAACCGGGCGCACAAAACCAAGCAGAGGGAATTCCACCAGGGGACCACCAAAAACCCGCAGCAACAGCAAAAGGTTTTCAAGGACGAAAAACCCGAGCACACAAAAAGCCACACAGAGGGAATTCCACCTCGGGACCGCCCAAAACCCCGCGGCAACAGCAAAAGATTTTCAAAGACGAAAAAACCCAAGCACACATCAAGGCATCGCATGAACGTGAAAGTGAATTGAACTGATCTGAGTCAGCGCAGAGCGTGAATCAATGAACTGCAAAGTCGGTGTCTGACTGGCTTGTCACTCGCGCATGAAGCTGCCGGAGCCTGATACCTCATGAGAGCTGCCTTGTTCAAGATGCAGGCAGTGCAATGCGAATGAAGCTGCCGGAGCCTGATACCTCATGAGAGCTGCCTTGTTCAAAATGCAGGCAGTGCAATGCGAATGCGAACTGAACTTGAACTTTTGAACGTCATCCCCTCGCAGGGGGCTCCCGCATATGGCGAGTCCAGCCCACGGCGCCATGTCGGACAGGCCGTGGGTATACACACGTATCTCGAGTGGCTTCACTCGCAGACAAGACAGCAAGAAACCCTTGGCTTCCCTTGGCGTCAACAACAAAGGAAGCAGACAGCGACTTTTGGGGACCCAACATCACAAAAACAAAGGGACCAACAGCGGGTACGTTTTCACGGGACCAGAGGGGGGTCTTCGTTGGCCACCGCCCCCCCTGGTCCCCGGTGGCCCCCCGCCGGGTTTTTATCGTCCGTGATCCAGGACGGCACACACACACACACGTCGGCAGCATTAAGAAGTGAAACCATCTGCGTACTTTCTGTGCAGAAGCTGAGATGTTTGCCATCGGTGTGCCTGCATGTGCGCTTTCAAAGCTTCAGATGGACTTTCGGCTGGCGTTCGACAATTCATTGCTTGTTCTTCACACGCTGGCTCAACTCTCTGCATACTTCCGTGCGGTCGACCATCAAAAGCTTGCCTTTTGCGCTTGTTCATTGCAGGGGACAATCGGAAGTGGTGGCTGTTCAAACGGAAGTGGTATGCAAAGTAAGCTTTGGCACATCCGGCTCAAACTATGTAGACAAAAGCATAATAATCCGCCGACATTGCTCGGCGTGTCGGATACTTACTAGAGGATAGAGGATAACCCCCCCCCTAACCCCCCCCCGCCCGACGTCTATTGCGTAGGTTTTTTTTGGGGGGGGGGGTCCCCCACATACCGCGCGGCAATTTGATGACGTTCCACTAAACGTAGTCTTCGGGGAGCCGGTGTCGCAAAACAGGGGTCCCAGGCTCGATTCCCCCTGCCGGCTTTTTTGCTGGCTTGGGCTTCCTGCATCCTTTTGCCGAAAATCTGGAAAAACTCAATGTTTTTGGACGTCCTCTTTGCGAAAACGCTGGAAAAACCGTGTTTTTTTTGCGGGAAATACTGGGGAGCAAAGGGGAAGTGCAAGGAT